AATTTTACATCGTCAAGTGCTAAAGTTATTACATTTTCCTATAAACATGTCGTATAACATCAAAAAAATTAACAGTGAATAATAACGCATGTTCTTTAAGAGGCGACTCTATGACAGAAACAATATTTCTTCAACATGGGATCCTCCACACAGTAGCTGTTGCCCTTGTACCTGTTTAGTCGACTAATATCACCAAGCAGCCTAAAATTAATCTGTTCCGACATTGTATAAGCTTCGACAGTAGCTTCAAATATCGCTTTAGGACTGGTCTCGGCTACAACCACAATTTGTCGAACGGTTTGATTATTCTCGTTTGAATAGTACACAGACATACCGCCTGTAACAATATCCTTTAAAGCGTACGTGGAACAACCACGACCTTCAACAAAACTCCTAACAAATTTATTAATTTCTTTCACAACATACAGCGCTACCTGCCTTACCAGCTCGTTTTTCGAACTGACTTGGTTATGTCCAATACAACTGCACCAATGCTGATCAATAGCAGCTTCCCTGCAAGTGCGATTTTCTCTAATCGTCATGAACAATGATTGACAATTTGGACATGCTCGGCTCTTCTTTGCTTTGTACGAGTAGTTGCCAATTTCCAAAATGTCCTGAAAAGTGCAGTATATGTCAAACGGTGTAGTGAGTCGCTTAGTATTGACCATGAAATTCTCGTACTTTTCTCTAAACTTCTTCTTAAAACTGTCTGCTATATAGATGTAGATAAAAGGCAGCCTTTCCTCTAGCCAGCCCGTACGAGTGAGCCTGATATCTCCGTATCTAAATCCGTGGTCACTAAGGAACATCATCACTGTATTCTCTAATGAAGACTTAAGGCTAGAGTCACTCAAAAATTCCAACACCATTTCGTCCATAGCCGAAGGCATGTTGATGTCGTCGTGACTAAAACTGTTCATCCAAAACAATCCAAAAATAGGCACTCCTTTAAAGCTAACAGAAAAATCCCGAGCAGCGTTTAGCACCCTTTCTGCTGAGGTCTCTGGTCCCGCGCAATAGGTCATACCATACCGTAGTTTTTTCCCTAACTCTTCAGAAGCAAGCATGTAAGGTCTGTAATAGTAATCTGTTGGCGGATCTCCAAAACCCGGTCTGTTGAAGTTGAAGGTACCTCTTTCATCTTCCGCATAAGCAGTCACGTATCTTGATTCTCTAAACGTATTCCAGATAAAATCACAGACGTTCAACTTTCCTTTCTTACTGCAGCTCTTGGATAACTGCGATTCACTCTGTCCCGTAAGGATGGCCATTAGATTTGGAAATGTATTGTCACCTATTTTGTTGTATCCTTTTAAGCCATGGAAGTGTTGCTCTAAGTAAGTGTAGGTCTTTGGCATTGTTCGTCTTAGATTTAATTTTGATATGCTGTCCATACCTATCACTAACACACTGAAGCGATTTGTTCTGTCGATTTTGTGAGCTACTTCATGTTTTGTAGGTAAGACGGTGGCGTGGACATTGGAGTAGACATATCGAAACCAGTTGAAACATTTAACTTTTATGAATGGATATGAGATAATGGTTTGGTCTTTGAATTGAGTACAAGGGGAATACCTGAAAAAAAAGCTTATTAAGATGGCCAGTACTTTCTAATGACTAACATGTTAGAGAATATAACTTTAAAGTGCATTTATATGAAATTCTTTTAGAAATTTTGACTCTCCTTAAAGAAGCGCACTTTCATAATAATGTTTAAAATGATCTTATGAAACCATTGATGGAAATTCTGTTATACACTATCAGAGTACTTGCTGTGTTATCGTAAATCAGTAGATCATATAAAATCATTTTTGATGTGTTGTATCCCAAAAACAAAAGACTAAAGTCCCATGGTTTATAGGCAAAAATATACAGGGTGTTCCAGATAGACCTTCAATTAGACGTTTCTGGAAAACTACGCATACTGGAATTCTGAAAATTTATGTACGGGGGTTTCTTCTAATGTTCTATCGATTGAAAATATTGGCGTCGCCGTGGAACTTCCGGTTCTACCGAAAGTAGACGTCAACTCGCTTATTTCAAATGGAATGTACTATTTTTATTTAATTTTTGGATTCTACATCGAATTTTAAGGTAAGTTTCATAACCTTACTTTATCATTAAACTCAATAGTTTTTTAAATATTTTGACTTTTTCAAAAACCTACCTACCTACACTTAATCGATTCTATCTCCTCCAATTTTTAAGATAGGAATCTGAAATTTTAGATGGTCAATACCAAATCGGGTCCAAATATCTGGAATATTCGAAAGTTGGCGCATGTTACACAGGGCGTCTAAAAAACACGAACCAATTGTGTCAAATTGAAAGTTTAATAACTCGCTTATTTTAAATAGAACACCCTGTGTTTTATAATGCCAGTAGATACACCTGTTAATTCTCTTTCCATTGGTATAAGCATTCCCTATACCTAAATCCCACCGATTTTGAGATATTTGAACATAAGTACGGAGACGAATATAATCAGACAGTTAGCTGTAGGTTGGCTGTGGAAAAACATTTAAATGTCACCAAGTGTCATTACTTTTTAGCAGATTTGCTGTCATTGCTGTAAATCGAGTTTGTCGATTTTCCAAGTGTCTTCAATAACAATGGCAATCATATTTGTTATGCTTTCATCAACAGTTACCTTATTTATATTTTCTAAGCAAGTTTTGTATCTTTTGAGATATTGATATTTCCTATGGACTAGGATAATTAACTAATACAATATACATTTGAAAATTTGTAGAGATTTAAGAAGAACAGGTAAAATGTTCAGAGATGTATAACAGGTAACTTCTTACCTTACTTCATTGTCAGACTTGTTCTGATAATTAAATCTATATATTTCCGAATAACAACAGTTAATTTCAAATAAGCTGTACTGTGACACAACACTAGTGTTGATTTTCAATAAAGCCAGACCATTATGCTTCTCGATGTAAGTGAGCAATCCTAAATTTGTGCACCTGGTGTATCTTTCTTTACGAACATACTTCCTGACTTCCTCATTGAAAGGATCTATATCGGGTATTTTAGTAGAGGTATTTATCAAATATTTTTTACTTTTGGAAGTGTAGAATATAGCTCTTCCGTGGAGGTCTGCAAAAGGTAAAAGTTAGATTATAATTGGTATGTATTGGAATCTTCTACCACCTAATTCCTTCTTAAAACTCTGTATAACTACATGAGTGTAATAAACATATAGAAAAATGAAAAGTATTACTATCACAAGGACTGTTTTCTTCTGAAATATGCCAGTCATACCTGCAAAAAAAATATTGTTCACAACAGAATCGTGTCTGAAAACTAGCAAAAAGAGAATGTCAAGACTATCAAGAGAAAAGCTAAACATCGATGAAGAGAAAAAAAACTATCGTTTTCGATCTTAGTTTCATGGTATAAATAAATAAATCGTGGCAAACTTGACCAATTTCTATTGGTCCTTTCATCTCCCTTGTTTTGCTGGTGATAAAACTCGACAAAGGAAATCAAATTCATATAAACATGGGTCGGAAAATGCCATAGATCTAATATAATATGGAACATGTTTAGTTTCCATCACACTCTCACCAATGTTAATAGAAATATAATTTTTATTAAAATATTTCTGATGTTCAAAAGTATCCACAACAATTTTTATCTAGCTGTTCAACATAGTCTTGGCAAAATGTACCTACTTCTGTTCGAAATAATTATGGAGTAAAAATACTTGTATGCAAGAAACTTACGCCTCGAAGTGCCTCGGTTCATTTTATAAAATTGAAATAAATAAGGTACTTACCGTTTAAGAAATATTGGCTTAGATCAAGTTGTGTAGTGCTCTACATAAATACGAACAAAAATATTATTTTCTTATTGAAATATTTTGACATGAGACAGTTTCGTAAACCGATATTTCAGATGTAACATTTCATAACGACGTCCTCCAATGGTAACTAAGCAAAGTTCACTGATGACGCTTTTACACAAATACGAGTATATGCAATAATTAGAGATGAGTTTTAGTGACAACTGTCAGGCTCTAAAATGTCACATTTACTAACTGTCTAATCCGAATAAAACATGGTATTTTTTCTCCAACCGAAACACCCCATTTAATTAATTATTTGTGCTTTGAATTTAATTTTAATCTAATCGCTCCGCTCGGGCGCAAAATCGTCCTCGACAGGTAAATAATACTTACCTCCTTTATGGTGTAAATAACTATTCCTTTATATGTGTCTATCATGACAGAAGCGTAACCTTTCCGGAGCCTTTTTAATGCATATAATTTGTTATGGTTCTCAATTTATGCTTATAACTTATAACTAAAAGATGTTTCTCTCAGTGCAGGCAATTTTACAATTATTTGACTAAAATTCTAATGATTTAGCCATTTAGGTCGTGATCGTAATTGTTTATACATCCTTATAAATATTTTGACATATTACTAGACCATTGGCTCCACAGAAATACATTGTGCGGCAGATCCAGAGAATATATTGTAAATTAAAAAAGTTACAAAATCTCCAAGATAATACACCTGTTGTTTTAAAGATATGTAAAAAAGAAACCTAAAGAACTAGAGCCAGTCTGCGAGAACCATTAAATTAGTGACACAAATGTCCTAAAATGTATCCCATATAATCAGTTTTCAGTTTCTTAAGATTTTTAGGATTTCAGATATTTAAAGAAGTAACTGCCATCGTGAGATAAGGGAGTTTTAAATAGGTCCATAATCAAGATATAACAATTCAAAAAATACACTAAGTAAAGAGACATTTAATAAATATGAGTTTTGAGCAATCGCAGCTCTACAAAATTAGAGAAAAATTTATAAAAACGATATGTGGAACGGTATTTTTAATTGACACTTCATTCATGGTAAGTCTGAATGGAAATTACATATTTTTTAGTTAATAGCCTTCTACAGGCTCTTGATTTTTACATTTTTCAATAAACATACCGTATAACATCAATATAAATTAACAATTTATAATACTGCATGTTCTTTAAAAGGCGGTTCTATTACAGAAACAATATTTCTTCAAAATGGGATCCTCAACACAGTAGCTATTGCTCTTGTATCTGTTTAGTCGACTAATATCACCAAGCAGCTTAAAATTATTCTCTTCCGAAATTGTATAAGCTTCGACAGTAGCTTCAAATATCGCTTTGGGACTGGTTTCGGCTACAACCACAATTTGTCGAACGGTTTGACTATTCTCGTTCAAATAGTGCACAGACATACCGCCTGTAACAATATCCTTTAAAGCGTACGTGGAACAACCACTACCTTCAACAAAACTCCTAACAACTTTATTAATTTCTTTTACAACAAACAGTGCTACCTTCCTTAACAGCTCGTTTTTCGAACTGACTTGGTTATGCCCAATACAACTGCACCAATGTAGGTCAATAGCAGCTTCCCTGCAAGTACGATTTTCTCTAATCGTCGTGAACAATGATTGACAATTTGGACAAGCTCGGCTCTTCTTTGCTTTGTACGAGCAGTTGCTGATTTCCAAAATGTCCTGAAAAGTGCAGTATATGTCAAACGGTGTAGTGAGTCGCTCGGTATTAACCATGAAATTCTCGTACTTTTCTCTAAACTTCTTCTTAAAACTGTCTGCTATATAGACGTAGATAAAAGGCAACCTCTCCTCTAGCCAGCCCGTACGAGTGAGCCTGATATCTCCGAATCTAAATCCATGGTCACTAAGGAACACCATCACTGTATTCTCCAGCGAAGACTTAAAGATAGAGTCACTCAAAAATTCCAGCACCCTTTCGTCCATAGCCGAAGGCATGTTGATGTTTTCGTGACTAAAACTGTTCATCCAAAATAATCCAAAAGTAGGCACGTCTTTAAAGCTAACAGAAAAATCTCGTGCAGCGTTGAGCATCCTCTCTGCTGAGGTTTCCGGTCCAGCGCAGTAGGTCATACCATACCGTAATTTTCTACCTAACTCTTCAGAAGCAACAAAGTAAGGCCTGTAATAGAAATCCGTAGGCGGATCTCTAAAACCTCGCCTATCGTAGTTAAAAGTATTAATAGCTCCTTCATCTTCCGCATAGGCAGTCACGTATCCTGATTCTCTAAACGTATTCCAGATAAAATCGCAGACGTTCAACTTTCCTGTATTGCAGCTCTTAGACAACTGCGAAGTACTCTGTCCCGTAAGAATGGCCATTAGATTTGGAAATGTATTGTCACCTATTTTGTTGTATCCCTTTAAGCCATGGAAGTGTTGCTCTAAGTAAGCGTAGGTCTTTGGCATCGTTCGTCTTAGATTTAATTTTGATATGCTGTCTATACCTATTACTAACACACTGAAGTGATTTGTTCTGTTGATTTTGTGAGCTACTTCATGTCTTGTAGCTAAGACGGTGGCGTGAACATTGGAGTAGACATATCGAAACCAGTTGGAACATTTCACCCTTATGAATGGATATGAGATAACGGTTTTGTCTTTGAATTGTGTACAAGAAGAATACCTGGAAAAAAGTTAGACGATATAAATTTGAAGTGCGTTTATACGAAATTCGTTTAGAAATTTTCAAAGACATATTTTGAGGGGAGAGAAAAACATGGCTAAAACTTGATTTTCTAAAAACATCTTTGATGCCCTCTATAACCAAAAACAAAAGACGATAGACCTATGGTTCATGGAAAAAATTATCTTACTTTTTGATGTTGCATCATCTACCAAATTATTTGCATTCACTTCTGCAACACCCTATATATTTTTTATTTTATTAAATATTGAATATTAAAAATTCACACATCTTTAAAAAGGAATACTTATACAGCATACTTCATATTATAATAGTAGAGTAAAGGTAGTTTAAAAATATGCATTATTTCGGAATAATTAGCAGAGTCTCGGAATTTCAAAAAATCTTTTGCAATCGTTTTGAAATGACTTATAGAACTAATTGTTGAAATGACTTATAACTAATTATTATTTAATCGTTTAAACAATAAAAAATGTTTTTTCAAAGATTATTTTAAATAAACTAAAACATTTCAATCCAATTTTAATCAAACTGATACTATAGGGGTTTTCGAGATCACTGAATAAGAATATAATGTTAAAAATACATAATGGCTGATCCAATATGGCCGACTTTTTTTAAACAATTTATTAAAAAATGACAATTTTCAAAGCAATTTTAATCGAATTGATATTATAGGGGTTTTCGAAGTCGCTGAACAAGAATATTATATCGGAAAATAAAAACTCAAAATGGATGATCCAATATGGCCGACTTTAAAAAAAAATTATTTAAAAATTACAAATTTCAAAGTAAATTTAGCTAAATTGACATTACAGGGGTTTTTGAGGTCTCTGAACAAGAATATTGTATCAGAGAATGAAAATTCAAAATGGTTGATCCAATATGTCCGACTTTTTTTAAACGACTTATTTAAAAATTACATTTTCAAAGCAATATTGATGAATTGATGAACAAATATAAATTGAAATCAACTTGTTAAATTTTAAAGAAATTTAAGTATGATGTTTAGGGTTCTGCAAAAAGGCAATATTATATGGGATTCTTAATTAACAATTTTTTTTAAATAAAAAATGAGACGAGAATAAAAAATACGTGATAGATATGTTTGGCTTCACAAGGCAAACTGTGAAAGTAAGCCACTATACTCATATGAGTAAATAAATAAGAGGATTTTATTGGATAGGGCGGACTGAGCATGCATTCACCGAGGTCATCTCGCGTTGGTGCAGCAAAACATTGTCCTTTATAGTAATTATTAAACAGAAATCTGCAACCACAGATCGAATCTGTAGGCTTTTTTCGCGACTGAATATTGGTGAATATCTGACTTGTAGTTACTATTTCTATCTCTCTTGAACTTAGTTGTCATATGGTAGTTTAAATCTCTTCATTCGCTCACGCTACACATTAGTACCTACATACGCCTTCACTCGCGAAAAAAAAAGCCTTGTATTTCCAATCTTTCAATCAACAGAAATAGAATGTTTGAGGTTATAGCATGACTATATGAATAACTAAATATTTACTCGCGCCAGGTGAGCTCCATTCACCGAGCAGATTTTCTCTCTATCTCTTTCTAACATTCAAAAATATAATTCTCTAATCACGAGAATGAATTACATTACCAGATAGACTTCCACTCGACGGAGACTATTGTCCCCCGACTGACAAACCCCCGGGGCACCCTCCCCGATGACATAAAAAACTTAATACGTGACAGACGACGTGCGAAACGGCTTGCCACCCGCACCCGACTCCCCCGACACAGACATGACTTAAACGTACTTAACAGACGGGTGAAGGCGGCTCTGGATGAACTGGCCCAGGATAACTGGGCTAGGCACCTGGAGTCGCTGGATCCACAAGACAACAGCCTCTGGAAAACGCAGAGGGCCCTGCGACAGACCGCTCGCCGTAAAATTCCTCCAATCCACGGTAGTGTGGGGGTGGTTTACACGAACCAGGAAAAGGCCGAGGCTTTCGCCGATAGCCTGGAACTGCAGTGTAGACTGCCTCAGCTGCCCGACGAAGACGAGGAATTCGAGATAGTGGCTGAGCGCGCGGCCCGACGCGTCGACAGAGAGCCAGACAATGACATAATCCCCCCCGCAACACCTGACGAACTAAGACTGACAATACGCAGACTTAAAAACAGAAAAGCCCCCGGACCCGACAATATACATAACACGACACTTAAACGACTACCACACAAGGGCCTCATGGCCCTACTAAACATAACAAACGCGACACTCAGACTAAGACACTTCCCTACCCGCTGGAAAACAGCAAACATAATCCTTATCCCAAAACCCAACAAAGATCACACCATCCCATCCAACTACCGGCCCATTAGCCTGCTCCCGGCTATGAGCAAAGTGGTAGAAAAAATTATCCTAACCCGTCTAAGAACCCACTCCCAAGAACTGCAAGTCATTCCAGACGAGCAGTTCGCCTTCCGACCCAATCACTCCACTGAACTCCAAATCCTTCGCCTTACCGAGCACATCACGGCGGCCTTCAACAGGGGACAGTACACTGGTGCTGTCTTCCTGGACGTCGCAAAGGCCTTCGATACGGTTTGGCATGAAGGCCTACTGATGAAAATGCTCACCAACCAATATCCCATATCCTTTACCAAACTCATAAAATCCTACCTACACCACCGAAAATTCCGCATCCAAATCCAAGATTCCCTTTCCACCACCCGTCCCATGGAGGCCGGTGTCCCCCAGGGCACCGTCCTGTCCCCACACCTATACACCATTTACAACTCCGACATCCCACATCCCCCCAACACCAACATATACTTATACGCCGACGACCTGACAATCACATCCCAATCCGTAGATCCTAGATATTCCGTCTACCTCCTCCAAAGCTCCTTAGACCAACTTGAAACCTGGTGCAACAGGTGGAAAGTCAAAATTAATCCCAACAAAAGTTCGGCTATCCTTTTTACCAAACGAAAAATCCCACAAAACCTTGACAGACTGACACTATCCCAGGAACCCATCTCCTGGAATCGACAAACACGATACCTGGGCGTGACGATGGACCAGCGTCTCACGTGGAAACCGCACATCGTGGAGACGGTGGCGCGAGCGAAGACCACCAGGGCTAGGCTCTATCCCTTACTCAAAGGTGGAAACACCCTCAGTTTAAGGAATAAGCGAACGCTTATCAAGGTGGTACTTCAACCGCAGCTAACCTACGCCTCCACGGCGTGGGGTCACGCGGCAAAAAGCCACTTAAAGTCATTACAGGCTGTGGAAAACATAGCCCTCCGCACGGCCACCGACGCGCCCTGGTACGTAAGAAACACTGACATATTACGAGACTTACAATACACAAACGCTACACAGACAATAAGACAAAACGCGGAGAAACGATTTGACGTAGCCGCTAGACATGACAATCCCCTCCTCAGGCAAGCCGTTGACTACGTACCCGACGTGACCGACAAACACAAAAGACCTAGACACCAACTTTTTGACCCTGGGTGACCACCCCAATGACCCCCCCCCTGCCCGCTAACCTTTTCTGTTTCAGAGACAGCCAGGATCAAGAAACGAAGACAACGACACACACACACACACACACACACACCCCCCATACCCTCCTTAACCCTCCCCTCCCGCGCTAGCCTAAGGGCCACCTTAGCAAAGCGCATCCCAGGCTGCATAGCCGCACTACCCTACCCAACCATACCACACATAAACATGACACTACCCCCGGGGTTTACACAGACGAGCCGGCGAAGCAAGAAGAGCGCCAGAAGAAAGGGCCCTAGCCGGCGGGGCCCAGCCAGGACAAAAGGAGGTCCCACAAAGCGCCTACACCGGCCGCATTTGCGGTCGGGGTAGACGACGGATGGGGCCCACCTACGAAGGCTGTCCAGGCCTACACGAGATGAGGCAGGATAAAGAGGGATAATCCCCCTCGATCCCAAATCATTGAGGCCAATTTCTAGCCATGGAATAATGGCGCGGCGCGACTTCTACTACATAATTTCATCATGAAAAAAAAATAGGTAAAACTGAATCTCGCGACAATTTATTGAAAAACCGTATTTTTTCGTATTTTATACAATATTATTCTAACAAAAAATTGTTTTCGTTGATTATGCTTTTTTTAAGATCATAGTTTGAAAATATATTGGTTGAACAAGCAAAAAAAAAATTTTTAACTATTAAATTTTAATTATTAACAAATTTCAAAATATTTTTTTGTTTTTCTGTAAATTTTGTTATAAATTCAACGTTTTAAATAAAACAAAATGGACCATCTTAAAGTACAGTTTTCAAGCTACAAAAAATGCTCCTGTAAAGTTGCAATATCATATTCTGAACGAAAGTTATTGGACTTTGAAACTTTGAAACTTTATATACAATTTTCATGTAAAATTTCCCGTTCTTTCGATTGGTGCAATTAGTTTTTTAAAAAAATTGAATTTATTAAGATATACCTACAGTAAGCAATGGAATTTTGCAACTAATTTGTTAAATAAATGATCAAGCGTATACTCTTAAGGTTGGTAACTTTTTATATGTTGTTCCTAACACCCTCACAAGTGTGTCCTCAAAAGTTACCCGATCTGCTAATTTTTCCGAAGTCAGAATCTTATTTTACTCCACTATAATTATTGATCACATAACTTATTTATGTATTCGTCAATGGTCATTTAATTTCCATTTTCTAATCCAAACTGCTTTCTAAGCAATTTTTATCTTTTTAAAAATGTTGATATCCCCGATAGATTAGGATAATTAACTAATAGACATCGAAACATTTGAATAGACTGCTCTTAGGCAGGTTACATTTTTAAAAACGTATAACAGATACCTCCTTACCTTACTTCGTTGTCAGACTTATTCTCGTAATTGAATCTATATATTTCTGAATAACAACAATTAATTTCGAAAAAGCTGTACTGTGACATAACACTAGTGTTGATTTTCAATAAAACCAGACCATCTTCTTTCTCGGTGTAAGTGAGCAATCCCAAATTGGTGCACTTGGTGTATTTTTCTTTACGAACATACTTCTTAATTTCGTCATTGAAAGGATCTATATCGGGTATTTTACAAGTAGAGGTATTTATCAAGTATTTTTTACTTTTGGAAGTGTACAATATAGTTCTTCCATGGAGGTCTGCAAAAGGTAAAAATTAGATTGTAATTGATATGTATTGAAATCTCCTACCCCCTAATCCCTTCTCAAAGTTGTCTGCAATTACAAGAATGTAATAAACATACACGAAAATAGAAAGTATTACTATCAAAAGGACTGTTTTCTTCTGAAATATGCCTGTCATACCTGTAAAGAAAACTGTTGTTAACTACAGAATCATGCTTGAATACTAGCAAAAAGATAGCATCAAGAGAAAGGTGTCAATGAAAACTATGGTGCATTTTGTGTAGGATTGTAGGGTACATGCTAAACGGCGATAAAGAGAAAAAAGTTAAAAAATAGCGCACTTTCTTCGAAGTTAGTTTCATGGTATAATCAAATCATGGCAGCATTGACGGATTTTTATTGGTCCATTTATCTCTCTTGTTTTTCTTTACTTTACTGGTGACAAAATACAACAAAATAACAAATAAAGTTCATGTAAGCATAGGTCAGAAAATGAGTTCAAGTTGAATAGAAATATCATTTTTATTAAATATTAAATATCTCTGAAGATATTTAATGCTGATAGATGAAACTTGGTCAAATAATTTAACCAATAAACGCCAAAAATTCACTGAATAGGATCGAGACGATCACTTCTCAAAAAGAAAACAGGAGAAGGATTTCCTCCTTTTCCAAGTAGGTACACCTTGAGATGAAGTTGAGATGATCCCGTTAGGAATCACCTCATCTAGAAAAATCACCCTTCCTCGGAGGACCTGTGTAAGGAAGGAGTGGGGTGTTTTCCACCGATCTGGGCTCCAAAAGGGTCATGGGGGGCTTCTCAGCTGCGAGCCTCTTCGCTGAGTTCAGTCACAAATTTTAGGAAGCATTACTACCATTCAGCATCTCCCTTTGGAGGGTTCTTTGACACATTGGCAATTTTAGGCCCACGGGACATAGCAACAACTTTGTTAGCCATATGGGAATGCCTAGGATCCCAGTTCGGGATCTCATAAACAACAAAAGGCAAACTGGAAGTCAGTAAGGTTCCTGGAGCGTTAGGCCAGGAAATCTTTCAGGCCCTGCATATGTGGCATTTGTAAGCCACGATAGATTCACGAACTATAAATGCCCCCAGAGTAATGAGGTTCATACCTATTAACCGCATTACTGCAACTTCTATTGTAAGTTCGCAGCTTGCAGAGAAGCAGACTGACAGTAATAATACAATCACTAATGAGCCCTAGCAATAGAGCCCTAGCAGTTTACAAATTTCTATTTCAGCAACTTGGAAGCGATAAAAGTGACTGAGGTCCGTTTACATTCCATATAAATCAGGACCTACTAATTATCATAGTATGTGATGCAAACAGGCATCATATATGTATTTACTGGTAGAGCAGGGACGCCAGTGAAAAAAGCGTAACTCATTCAGGATGTGGTTACCCTAGTACTAGCGTGGGTCAAGCATTTGATCAAAGGTTGGCATATGCCATCAAAAGTGTCCATACCAGATTATCGCCATATCAAATTCACTTTGAAGATAGGAACAACTTTTATGGCGCATGAATATAGAGAACCAAAATTGACGGATAGGGCTCCTACAGAAAAGTAATCTCTGAGAATCAGAAACCGAGGTCAAAGTCTCATATCGTTTCTCAGATCTAACATTGTAGGTCGTATTTTGTGCAGACCATTACAGATTATAATCGTCAATATAAAAGTCTTTTTCAGAAAAGCAAACAGCATGCTTGGAACGAATTTCAAGTATTTATAAAGTAATGGAAAAAAACACGAATCCAAGATAGATGCTCTGTCTTCCTGCTGATCTAAATCTAAATCTAAATAATAATATAATATCTCTACTCCTTATTCTAACCACGAGAATTAGCCAGAAGACTTGTGCGGGAGAAGAGGTGGCATATTATTATTATTATTATTATTAAGTAGGCCGAATTTGCGCCCAGGAACGATTTATGTTGGTAGGCCCTAACCACCATTCAGTGCAGGAATGAGGGAAACCTGGAAAACCTCATTAATTAGGGGGGTTGTAAAATGCCAACCGGTGTCAATGTCTCACATTGACCCAAGCCAACATTCTTCCACCCTACCATACCTGCACAGAGGGTGCCAATCCTCCGTACAAGCATAGCTAATCTACGGTCTATCGGCCGCGGGAATCGAACCCGGGCAATATTAGAACACATCGATTTAAGTACTGACGCCTTAAATCGTGCGGCTACCGACCATGGTACATGGTGATGGTACATAGAATATCCAATGGAATATCCAATTTACCATCAGTTCCCTGGATCCATCTGAAACGATGATGTTCATCAACCCCAGACTTCAGCTATAGGTTGGATGTGAGCTCTTTAAGGTTATTACTCATGAGGGAATTAAATGGGCGATTAATATTTTCCTCATCGAAAAGTGTAGAATTAAATGGAATTAGATGGTAGCTCTGAAATATATTGGCCGTCGTTACAAAAGGTTAGGGTTTTTACGACGAAAGCCTTCATATCTGACGTCCTTCCCAAAGTAAAGAGTAAAAATATTTTTATGCAAGAGATTCATATCTCAGAAGTCGCAATTTATATTATACAATTGTAATGGATAAAGTACTTACCGTTTAAGAAAAACTGGTCTATTTCAAATAGTAACAATGTTATACGTAACTAACAAGAAAATTCGTTTCTCGTTGAGATATTTTGACATGTGACAGTTTTGTAAACCGGTGTTTGACACACATTTCATAGCAACTTCGGCAACTAAACAAAGTTCACCTGTAACGACGCTTTTGCGTTGATTGAAATATTTCAGTCAACGGATTTTGTTTATAAAAATATGTAATGTAATATTCGTTGATACAGCAAAAAAACCTGAAAAATTAAAATTTTGTATGACAGTGGTGTTCTAAAGTGACGAATGAGTCAGGTAATAAAAGAGCGATCAACGGAAGAATGATGAAGATGAAGCGAATGTGGTTTGTGGTAGGCCAAGCTGCTTATAGAAGGCGCATGGGCTTTACGATTATAGGCAATCTATTACAATGAAGAAATATTTCTATTTATCTAGTAATAAATCTTTATCTACATTCTGTTAAACATCCATCCATTCCATATTATTATAAATAGATAGACTCGTCACACATTATGTTACTGTCATCATAAAATAAGCGTTCTATCAAAATATGTAAAAATACACAAGTGGTGTAATTTAAAAAATAAATCACTAAACCGATACTAAATTGTATTTGCAATTTATGCAACAAAAATTTATGATATATCACTTTCATTTTTATACATCGTTTTATATTTCAAATGTTGAAAAAAAAAGAAATGGCAGAATACCTACGACAATTATTATAAGTAAGCATTATTTGTTTTAAATAACTTCTTTAATTGTTTAATTCAATTAATTTTGATGTTATAAAGGTAAGCTAGCAAAAAAAGCCTCAATAAATTATTATGGTAACGAAATGAGCAACTACAAATTCTTATATACAATTTCGATTGATTTCATACATAATATGTATATTACTTTTATAGGGATATCCCTTGTAATTCCGATTTATCCGCGATAATTTTTAAGATGCAAGCGCACCAAGCGGCGAAAGCAGTAAGCTCCGAAACAAGGTAATTTTGACATTGCCGTTCGCGTTTACACATTCATTTGAACAACATTTGTCTTATTTGCCATTATTAATAGTAATTTTGTTATCAAACTGCGGTTATTTCACTTTTGTGTTATTTTATAGGTTTCAAAAATTTCATAAATAAATTTTAAGGCAAGTATTTATGTCTACTTTATTTGTCTCTAGCATTACAATGTAATGTACATTTTATTAAGTTATAACTATGAACTTATCCGTTGTGGAATACATTTCCTATTTACATATATGCTAACGAAAGCTCTCGTTGTATATTAGAAGGAGAGGCAGTTTTTAAGGCTGATCATGTGATACTATATGGGAAAATTGAGGAAAGTTAATTTAAATTTAGAAATTTATATTATGTCTGCAGACTAGTGCCCTTACTTACTAACAACCCTCATGAAATTCAGGGAGTATTATCTATCGGCAATAATATTTTGAAAATTTCTTCAATGGTTTGATGAAAACTTAATTCTGGATTTCTCTTGGAGCATGAAGAGCAACCTTGAACTGAACAATAATAGTTTGACAGTTTCTTCCTTCTATCCATAATTGCTGAAATTTTCCTCACACGATTTTCTTAAAATAACAGTGTTCAAAAAACGAACACTAAATTCAGTTTTAAATAAAATACAAAACGAAATGTCGCACACAGAAGAAATATTTACCTTGTTTCGCTAGTATCACTTGTCACCGCCAGAGGGCGAGCTCTTAGCTGCATTCGCGAAATCTTTTTAGTAGTGACGTCACATACCTACGGCAAATAATAGGCAACACCATAGTGCACATTGTCATGAAGAATTTCCCAATATTGATTGATTTTCGACCTTATGTACTTTGGACATAAGTGCCAAGAAAATGGCTTCATTGTCATGACCTTAAATATCGCGATATTTTGGCAATATTAGAAATACCTATTTAAGAAGTTTCAAACCCCAAGTAACAAACTAATAGAATAATAGAATTTAAATATTTAAATTTATAGAATAATATTTACTTTTATCCCACTAAACACGAAACGTAAATGAAACGTTGCAAATGAGATGTTTTACTAAACATTTGAAACATTAACTACAAACGTTTCTGTTTCATTACAGAAATGTAGCACTTGAAAACTTATTTAGTGAAACATAGCCGAAACGTTACAATTGAAGAGAGTTTGAAACATTACTCGAAACATTACCTTTCGATCTCGGAAACATAACAGACGAACAACCCTTTGCTATTAGTTAAATTTTGCTCTCAATCCCCAATCCTTCTCAAGCGTTAGTTCATTTGCCTTTGTTATATAGACATAATTAGAAAAAAAATGTGGTAGCATATTTATAACACAAGTCTAGAAAAAATGTAATGTTTGTGACTTGCGTAGACTGCGCGTAACAGCCCGAGTTTATTTGTTTCCCGTGTGTCGTTTCAATTCGTATTATGTTACGTTAGGTTTGCGGTTTGTCAGTTTGCTTGGTTTCGTTGTTATTCATCTTTACTTTGACGCTATTTTATGTGATAATTTGTAGTGTGTGCAGTTGTGGTTATTGTAAGGTGCATATAAAATAATGAATATTGATGCAAAATGTTTAAAACGATATGTGTGAAGAGATTTCCAATTTTGCGTCACATCTACCTAAATATAGTTATACCCATTACCCACTACCTATTACAGACAAGAGGACAAAGGACAAGAACTAAGAAAATGGAACAACAACTATACGTTTTGATATAATTTGAAGAGCAACTACTTAGTCAGTAACTATTTGAAATATGGATGAATCAAGTGAAATAGACGTCATTTATTTTATATTTTGTACAAATGTTTATATTTGTTTATGTGTATAGGCATGCTTAAATAAAAGAGTTTAGGTATACCTACAGATATTTACTTTGTCAAGATATAATTTTGTATCCTTATCCTTATTTTTGCTGTATAATTTATTATTATTAAAAGGATATATGTAATATTGACCATGCGTAGAAGAAATTATAACTTTATATTATTTTTCAGTAATGTTATTTGTTTTTCATGTACCTACCATTTCAACATTCATAATCATAACTAACTTTTTCTAATTATCAGTTCGTCATTGTTACCATATTCATGATGGTCTCAACATTAGAAAATTTCCATTTCAGAAGCGTATTTGAACAATATAAAATGTGTAGTTTTTTTTAATGCTTCTGATATTGTTTTGTGATATTTTTATTTGTACGATGAATGGCAAAATTCGTAATCCATATTAGAAACTTTTCTCAGTGGCTTCTCAAAAAGAAAGAAATTCTTAGTAAAAGTTGCCGCATCCCCAAACTAGAAGAGCATATTTATTTATTTT